CGTTGACAAAAGTGACTTTATGCATTTTGTAAACTCTGTTCGATGGCACTGTACCATTTTGATGAAGATTACGAGAGTCAATGAGGACAATGTAACATTCGACCAGAATGTACGAAAATGCAGTTTCGCATTCGAACTTTTATCGACCAGAAAAAGAATATCTGACCTGGAAGATTGATGGTTTTAACGGATTAGCGACGTTATTGGAACGATTAGACGAATCGGGAAAATTAGTTTTAACTGACATGCTAATTTTTGAAATTGCGATGGAGGTGATGATTTTTATCTACTGAACAAAAACAATCGTAATATAATAAATAGTAGTAGCTCTGTTTTTAGGAATGACCTCGTGGTCTGGGATACTGCGACCCAACCATGAGCTCACTATTTTTGCATATAATTAAGTTAATTTGAGTGTTTTGACCGAAGCCGGAAACAGTAACGTTTTGTCGACTCGATGTTAGAAAAGCCATTAAAAAAAACAGGCTTTGGCAGAGACTGTGAAAAGCATTTAGAGCTGTGTTTAGACGCTAGCCAGTCGTTTTAGAGCCTAGCTTTATTCCCGTCGATAGGTACTACCGGGAGAATGTTACATTGTCGCGAAATTTCGACATCGTCACCTATCTTTCTTTGCAAACGAATTTTTAAAAATTAACATTTTAACCCAAATTAACCATTCCGTGTTCGTCAAAATGAACGATTAACACCGTTAATGTGCTTAAACCACCAATTTTCCCGCTCAGCTGCTGTCACAAAAAAACTTCGAATTCGAACAAGCATTTTGATACATTCTGGTCGAATGTCACAGTATCTTTTCGTTCTCGTCGAAGGGTTCGACTGTGCCAATCCGGAGGAATGGCACACGTTCGAGCCTTCTCAACGCCCTTTTCAGATGTTGTTTGTTTCACCCTTTTTGCATAGGATTGGTAATAATCATTTTTGATATAATAATCATAATAATATTAATCATAATAAAAATAATAATACAGAATTTAGAGTGTCTCATGGAATTTCACCTATTTTCAGTTCATCTTCAGTTCAGTTTTATTTTACTAAGAGGATTGCAGTTGCCACATCTGCATATTACTCTCCAAGTATATTAATTTTCTTCGGTGTATTGTTTGGTGAAAAAGTTCCAGTAAATGTTCTGAATATTAGCCTTACTTAGAATTTTTCCGAAACTTTCATAAACCCGATGAACGTAGTTGTAGAGTAGTTTCGTCCTTCGAAAGAAGTTTTTGTTGGTTTTATTTAGTCGCGGTTTCGATAACTTGAATTCACCTCGATTGCTTTGTCGAGTAGTATCGCATATTGTCTCACTTTCAATGGAACTTTCAACATCAAATTCACCTGTTTTAATAGATAAAAGCTTAAAGAGATCATGCATTTCAACATACAGGCTTAACGGAAGAATATGCACTTTAATAAACCGAGGGGACCAGAATTGATCCTTGGGGAACACCGCTGGTTACATTTCATAGGGTTGATTTTGTGCCGCTTATTTGCACGTATTGATTGCGTTGGCTTAAGTATGATTTTAGAAAACCTAAGATGTTTCCACCACTTCCAGGAGACCTTATTTTGCTAACTAGCACACTATGCGGTACTGTGTCAAACGCTTTAGCAAAGTCGAGATAAAGAACATTTAACTCATTGACAGATTCTAGATCATTGCATTCGTATATTTTGTCAAGAAAGTATATTAGTTGCAGCGTCACCGATCGTCTTTTTCTAGAGCTGTATTGACTAGTGTGGAATTTTGTATGAAAGAAACAATAAATTTTATCAAAAAGGAGTTTTTCCAAGACTTTTGAGCAACAACATAGGAGGCTGATGGGATGGTAGCAGGTTACATCAGCTTTGTTGCCCTCTTTGAATATTGGTTTTGTTTGGCATAATTTCCAGTAGCTGGGGTAAGATTGCTTCTTTAGACTTGTTTGAAAGATCAGTTTTAGTGATTTACACAGGGTTTTGTGACTCTTTTTCAAGAGTGTGTTTCCAATTTTATCGGGTCCGGTTGATTTGTCAGGATTAAGTTCAAACAATATGTCGCTTATTTATTCTTCAGTGTAGTCAGCTGTGTTTAGTATGTTATTTGGTTCATACCCAGGCTGCATATTAGATTTACTGAAGACCGACGCGAAGTACTGATTAAAAACTTCAGCCTTTTCAACATTTATTGATGCTACTGTCTTATCAAAATTTTTTTTTGGGGGAATTGAGGTTTTTTTTATACATTTCAAGTATTTCTGTATTTTACTAAACGTCCTTCCTTCAAAAACTGATTTTTCATATTCAGCGGGGTCTTTCTCGGATTCAAGTTTGATTTGCTTTTCAAGGCATTTGAGTTTAATCAATGTGCTTAAAATTACACTTTTTCGTTTTTTCATTGTTTTCAGCTTATTCATAAGATTTGATGAAACATTGGAAATCCAGGGGGGTAGCTGGGATCTATTTTTGGTACTTCTTGGTATGTGTTTATCTATTTTCTTCCACAACCATTTGTATCATTGCTTTAACAATTCATCTACATTACTATAGCAATACGGTTGAAAGAGGATACTTTTATTAAATTCGTCACAGACAGCCTTGTTAAAATCGTATTTTATATCAGTTACTGCAAATTGCTTTTCCTCTTTTTCGAGGTCGATGGTTGTAACAATTGGTTCATGGTCGGAAAAACTTTTGTCGTTTTGCATAAGATCATTTTGTAAACTTTTATCAGGATTTACATAGACGAGTTTTTGATAGGGACGGTAATATTTAAGCTTGTGTGCCGCCCTCAGTATAAGGTCTCGGCTGATTGGTTTTTCAGTTTTTACCAGGAGTGTTCTTGGTTGTTGTTTACTTGCGTCATATTTACCGAGTCTATGCGCTTGAGTAAGTTTTTTTATCTTCAACGTTAAAATGTTCAAGAAACTTTTCTACTTCGGCTAAATCAGCATGTAATCTTTCATCAGCCGAGCTTGAGCCTGATTCTGTTATACGTCGTTTATATACTCCTAGCGTAGTTTTTTGGGGAATTGAAACTGATTTTCCAAGTTTGACTTTTCCTAAGGATTGTTTGTATATTTTGGTATCATTTTTCACGTTTATGACTTCCGATTGAACATTTATAATGATGTTATATGACTTTTCAATTTTATCGGTTAGGGTTTTCATTTGTAACTGAAGTTTTTTCATTTGATTATTGGTTTCGTTTTGAAACTTTTTCAGATTTTCGTCTATTTTTGTTTCCAACTTTGATTCCAACTTTGACAAAAAATCTTGTTTCTCCGGTATGCAACTATTGCAGATGGGGACAAGATTGTCGTTAAGTTTTATGAGAACTTCTATTGTATTCGTTTCAAACTCAGTACTCTCTGTTGTTAAATGAAGTGTTTTATTACAAATGCAATAAACCAATTTGTTGTCATTTTTAACTTTCCTGTTGCACGTATTGCAGTTATCACGCGTCATTTCACTTGCTTGAGTTCGATTGGGGCAATTGGATAGTTCGTTAGAATTGGGGTGGAGAACTTAAACACAAATTGATTCAAACTTAGCCGCCGGTCCCTGAGGGGACCTTTGGAAAGCTTAAACCAGAGGAGACAACTAACAAATTCTCCCTGTGAGCCCCTGAAGGGACCTTTGGTAGGTTAAGTTAGTCTGTAACGGACACGTAAAGATAAGGATAGAAACAAGAAAAGATTGATGTATACTTGAGCTACCAGTTTCTGCAGGTGCACTGACAGTTGTTGGTGGTAAGATGTCCGTTGTCGTTCAAATGCTTCGAGTACTTCTTATACAGAATTTTCCCCTTGATGAGGTTTTTCAGGTTGTTCAGACCGTCTTCGTTTTTTTTTTTTTTATTTGGTAATCAGAAGGTAAAAAGTATCATAGTAACCGAGGTTACAGTCATGAGTCCCTTCATCATGTATTCCAGTCAAAATCCTTGGAATTTGTTAGACATGGAAGTGATAATGATAAAAGAAGATGACAAGTGTTTAAGTCCTTTTCAATTAAAATCGATACGGGTTACGTTTCTTCAATAAGAACACGCAACTCGACACGAGATAATTTAATATACAAGTGTTACAAGTAAAAAAATTTTTCGAAAGTTATTTTGTCGTTTATTGTTCCGAGTACGCAAGCGGCGTTCGCAATCTGTATTGCCAGGGAGATTCTCTGTTTTAAAAAGCTAGCGGTTGAAAAAGATATCCATCATTTAAAAGATCTTTATACTTGTCAATTTTTCGCTCTTCCGCTTCAGCGGCAGCCGTACCAGGGTTAAAAACAGACCCGGCTCCGTCTTCGTTTAGATGGAAGTGATCGTTCGTAAAATATCTGTTACCCGTAATAAAAAGTGTCTTACACTGGCACCGGGTAGTGACAAGACGTTCAAGTTTCGAAGATGTCTGGCCTGGGAATCAGCATCTTGTCTCTAAAATCCCTCCATTGAGGGCCGTCCACACAAGATTACAGACATTTAACATGAAAAACACTATTTAATAAGAGTCTCAAAAAGAGTCTCCCCAAGGACTTTTCTGTTTTTGAGATTCGAAAGAATGATTACAATATCGGCGAGAAAGTGCGTCTCATTCAGTTTATCCCTGACAGGATGTTTCGGAACTAATGCCTAATTGTTGTACCCAATCTGGTAATTCAACATCATCAAGAGCTTTTATCGAAACCTCGCCTTTTTTCCCTGGAGTTCGATCTTGCCTTTCTAATAGTTTCATTAGTGTCTTTTGATTGGTCTCTTTACTGTTGTTGTTTTTTGTCTCTGAGACTTAGGTATTTCATAATAATCCTGTGTCTATAATACCTCAAAGGGCGCTCGACAAACAGGCACAAACATCAAACATATTTATATTTAATAAGTTTATCACAACAGTTAGACTAATTTATTGCTTAATTAATGCTGACAATCTTGATTCGCGACAGGTGTTCATCGAATTGAGTTTTTGAGACTTTCGCATTTTCCATTTTGCGTCGCCTCTGGGTTAGAAGTCGCTGCCATTTCACCTCATGTTTTAAAGATTTCACCATGTCGGACTCATCTCTCCTTGAGATTGATCGCAATATGAGCGAAGAAAATAGCGACCTTTATGAATCCATTTTACAAAATTTTCAAAGTAATACTACTAATGGCACTCAAGCTCAACCCGATATGTATTCCAAAAAAGTGTTGCCAAAAGCAGGCTGCTGTATGAAATGTAAAACAAAGAAGAACGAAAAAGTCTTTGTCAATTTATGCATTTCGGAGTTGCTGCCTGATCCGCCAAATGTTGAAGAGGACGAGTTGGTGCAAATTCTTTCAAATGAAGATGCCCCTGACTTTCGAATGCCAATGAGTATAGGGGAACCACACACGGAGTTAGATAATGCAGGTAAAGGTTGCACAGTTATTGACGTCGTTGTATCAGAAGACTTTTTCAATAGACTTCAAGATTCAAGCAAACCGGTCCTCAATTCATTTTTCTGCACGGCGATGCTTGAAGGCATCCAAGAAAAATACAAATTTGAACTTGAAAATGAAGTCAAAATTTTGAAGCACAAGAAAGCAATGGGGACTATTCAGGAGCAGATGATTCGAACTCGGAGGTTAATCCGAGAAATGGGGGACTCAATCATGAAAAATATTCCAGACATCCAGAACCTGGTTAGCTCGCCTGAAGTACCAAAATATACCTTCGTCAAAGAGCCACCAGTTGGACCTGTAGAATTTTTAGTTGGAGAGATAGTGCTACCGAAATGTGCCGGTGTTAAGCAAATTTTACTGGATGTAGGTGGAGATAGGGTGGTGCTTGATTGCCGGCCTTTTTATTTTATGGACGTTTTCTTCCCATACGAGTTTGAAGTGAATGATGTTGGGGCTCAATTTAATGCCGATAAAAAAATTCTATCAATAACAATTCCTGTAAAAATTGAATAAATTCGTTTGTAATTGTTTTGGGTATTTTTTTCTGCAAACAAGGCGTGCATTAATTTCGTGTGCATTCATTTCATAATTAAGGTAGTGAAGTAAAAATTTGAATCTAAATAGCCCATTCCTTACGCTTGTGATTAGCAAGCGTTATCAAATCGAGAGAGTACACTATTTTTTCGGGTTAATAACAGGTTTCCCAGAATCACTTGTATCTTTTTTCATAATTAACTTCCAACTTCGCAACTTCCACCGGCTCAAGCCACAGGTCTGCGGGAGTGAGTGGGGAGGGATTCTTAGGGCAGTTAAAAATGTGGCAACTAGTGTGGGGTGCTAGGACTTAGACTGGAGGTGAAAAGGCGCCTGACGCGGCAAAGTCGGTGGATAAGAATCTGAACAGGAACTTTTTTCTTCAAACTTGAAATATTCTTTTCCAAAAAATGTCGGCCTATTGTTTGTCTGCAAATAATTTGTTGGCTCAAGTGTAACATCGTAAAATTGCTTTTTTAATCCTAATTTTAATGTAGTTGCTTTTGTTGCAATAAATTGCTCCGGCGATTTGTAGTATTACTTGTCGCCGGAGCGATTTGTAGTATTACTTGTTGCTCCGGCGATGCGTAGTAAAATAAGCTTCTGAAAAAACAATTCGGAACGAAGTCCAGATTTTACTTCAATTTACACAGATGTAAATGTGAGATTAAAATCAAACAACAACAAAATACTAATTGATATTAGAAGTTCCTTATATTTTTCTGTGAAGTTTTTTTTTAGTTAAACGATATCTAACAATCACTGTAGCATAACCTGAATTATGGTTTTGAAGGTCTGCCAAGTTTTTTCTATTATTGCCTTTTTGGTTGGAAAGAGAAACTTGTGAAGGAATTTTGAAGTTATCCGCCTTCATGTAAGTTTTTATAATAAATGCTTTGGAGCTTTTTAATTTTTTTTTGTTGGGATATTTTCTTTCACTGTCATCGGTGCTTGGCGCCAGGCAGGGGTTTTTCACTTAGTTGGCTAGATTTTTCATGATCGTAGATTTATTTGGTTCAAAATCATAATTACTGTTCAAATTTCAGTGTTTTTTGTTGTATAATTTCATGGTTTGCGTAAATCACATAGAATGCTTAGCCGCAATTTTTTTCAGAGCTTGTATATACAAATCGGACCAAAATTTACAAACAAATTAAATCTTGCTCGTTAGTACTGAAAATTTGATTATTCGATGCAAATTGGTGAACAAATGATGGAACGAGTCATCAGAAATTTACACAGCTCATGGAGAGTTCAAAAACCAAATGACAAAATATGCTCTGCTCGCATGTAGCAGATAGATGTTATAAGTTGAAGACTACTTACCTACGGCACTAAGGAAGAGAGCAATATGCTAGGTGCTCTGTTTTACGTTTCGTTATCTTGTATTATCTGTGTTCAAGTTTGCATTACTGCTTTTCTTTGTAGAAAATGTTGCGTGACGCTGATTTGTTTCTATGATTTAGCCATGCAAAAGGGAATGTTTAGGTTTTTTCAAACAATTTTTATCTGTTTCGAACGAATTAGCTTGAATAATGATTTAAGACAAACGTGTTTGCAAATTGGTGAATAAATATTGGGAAAAATGGAGTCATGAAAAACATACACAGCCCTTCGAGAATTCATAAGCCAAATAACCAAATATGCTTTTCTCGCAGGAAGGTAGATATTATAAGTTGAAGACTACTTATCCATGGCAGTAGGGAAGATTGCAAAATGCTAGATGCTCCGTTTTACGCGCCGCTGTCTTGGTTTTTCTGCGTGCATTGTTGCTTTTCTTCGTTTCTGATTTCTATGGTTTAGGCATGCAACCCAGGCAAAGAAAAACGAGTTGCCTAAGACTCCCTTTTCTCGGGCTTTCCCACGTGGTTCTCCCAACCAACTCTCTTTTCCTGGTTGCGAACATCCCGATTTTTCTTTTGAGGTTCTGTTTCTCCATTTATTTCGACCTCGTATATAGGTTCTGTAGGCTCGACGAGCTGAGGTTTATTTCTTTGAAGATTTTTTACTTTAATCCCGTCTTTTGCAAATACTGCGATCTCAAAAATCGCTGCCCACTTCGACCATTCCAGTGGTGGCTCGGCTGAGGCTTTCTCCCAGAATGGGTTTATATTGAGCGGCTTTTTCGAGTATCCTGCTGACTGCGCCATGTCATACCTCAATGTATGAGCGTGATTATAATGAATCCGATCGGATTGATAAACGTAGTCTTTATGTGAGTTGGATAAAACAGCTGTTGTTCAGAAACATAAATTATCGTCTGAGCTCTTGATCATGATCTTAAGTCGGCATGCAGCCGTATCAAGGTCAACTGACCAAACAATATATATAAATATGTTAATCAAATTAATAAATAGCAACGATGATAAGTTTATCGATCCGTACCGGATGACAAAGTTTTTCAGATTTTTCATTTTTTAAGTCTGCTTTGAGCCAATTTGCTTGTAATGATTTATGTTGATCTCAGTTTTCCAAAATTTTTCTCAATACAAACTTTTAACAGGTTATATACAAAGAAGTTCCTTCTCGAGAGTGGCCTGCAAATTCTCCCGAGACACTCGGTTATTCGCGAACATAAATCTCAATATGTTTCTTACGACCACTCATAGAAATTAATGTACCACAACACAATCACGCGTCATACAAAGAACGCGTCATACCCAAGAAAGTGAAAAAGTGAGAAGAACTACTCCTATGACTTCATCATTTCCAATATAAATTGCCATCAACGCCACCTTTGTTTATTCGATCTGGTCCAACCATCAATGATGGTTACGCTAGCGATTAGCAAGCGTTATAGAATCGGAACAAAATATTTTTCGGGTTCATCATCATCATTATCAGTTTTGTTTAGCGCCATCTAGTATCCGACGGTATGTGTGATTTTCTGTTTTCTTGTCATAACTTCTTGTTTCCAATTTTTTTCTAATTTCCGGAGCCGAAATCCATTTGTTTCGCAAATATTTGCAGTGATGATTTTCGTACAAGTATATAGCGGCCATGAGTGCAGAATTCATCACAAAGACCTTGTGGACATTTGTGGTAGTTTTTCGAGGACTAGACGAAGAGATAGCAAAAAATCTTAAGCGGCCATTCTGCCTTGACAAAACGAAAGGAGTTAAACAAGTGAAGGTTTTTATACAACTTAGATCGTTTTATGCAGATTCGATTAAAGATTTGAGAGAGGTTTGTTTGATGCCAATGTTTCCTGACCAGCAACCAGCATTTTCCTTTTTTTTTTAAATTTTAGTACTACTACAGCTTCTTTGAAGCAGTCAGGATACACGCTCTCTTCTAAGGATATATTTATGTTAAGTAGTACTTGTTGCCAGCTGCTCATCAGCTTTTTGACCTGTGTAGATAGTACATCGCAAGAAGTTGCGTTTGAGATATAATTCGCGGCTTTAATAGCCTTCCAAGATCAATCGTTTCAAAGTTTTTCAGAATTTGGGTAGTCGACGGATAGACTGAAATGAAATTTTTTTTATAAATCAGGATTGTAGTTTTTAGTTAACTATTCCACTTTCGATGCAAAGAATGAATTAAATCTTCTAGCTAGAATTTTTCGAGTACCCTGAGATTTCGGATAGATCATCCTTGTTTCATTCCGAGGAGAATGTTATTGCCCTAAACTTAGTTATATCAACATTTGCGCGCGACATTTCTTCTGGAAGTAGTTTCTTTTTTTTTAAGGATAAATAATTTCTAATACCGAACTGTTTGAGCATTTAAATTTAGTTTTTCTTTTTTCTTGCGCTTTTTTCTGGCTAGTCTATCCAGCTTGCTTCTCTTTCGTTTTCCAGATTGATACTCGGTCGAAAAAAAGCAAAGGTTTTGAGTTCCTGGTCTTTGTCTGAACTGTGAGATAAGTATCAAGAGTTTGTTCAAATGTATTTACAAAAGATGGCAGCTGGTCATTTGGATCAATGGCTACTTGGCTCATGGAGAGGTTTCAAAGATTTCTTGTTTATTCCAGTCACACTTTTTGTAACTTCTGAACATGATTTTATTGCTTTTCCTGTAAAATTTGATCTTCCAGTGTAGGAAAACGAGACTAAGTGATGATCAGAAAAATCTACTTCTTCCATTGCTAAGTGGCTGATATCGGAACCACTTCTAGCGATAATCAGGTTCGATATATTCATTTGTTTCTACTTTGGCCCTTCAACATGTTGCTGTAGTCCAAACTCTTCAAAGCGTCATTCATCAGATTATATTTGGGAGAAAATCTGTTATTTTAATGTATATTGAAATTGCCAAGTATAATTGTTTCATTTTCCAGTGATAGATGAAGCAAAGTCTCATTCAGAAATATTATGAAACTTCGGAAATATCCATTTGGTGTTCTATACACATATTTCAATATAAATTTGCAATTGTTTGTTTCAAAAGTTAAGATCAAAATTTACCAATATTCATTTTACTGTGTCGTATCTACTGTTGTTTTTAAAAACGAATTGCTAATCAAGGCAACACCACTCCTTTTTTTCGGGTTCTGCATAAATTTACAGGTTTGAAATTTCATAGCTCCTTGTTACCAAAAAATCATCGTCAAGATCTTTAACCCTTGTTTCGGTAAATATCAAAATTATTGGCTAGCCGGACGTTTGCTAGCTTACCCCTTTTCTTATTTTTTGATCGAGTATTTAGGAGACCAAACCTATTTTTGTTATCCGTGAATTGTCCTTTTCCCTGAGTTTGTTTTTCAAAATTTTGAGCCATTCGTAAGCAGTCTTGCCCAAGAAAAAGCAATTTATCAGCGTATGTTCTGGCTTGAATTCAGATCATCGATGGAATTGCTATGAGAACTTTCAAAAACCTAATGATCGCTTCTAAAAATACTTGCATCCCTTGTTACTTCCCTGATGTGCAGTAGTTGCGCTCCATTCATTTTTCAAAATGTTAAACTTTTTCTTGTTCTACATTAGGATCGAGTCTTCCTAGTTGTATATGGCGTCTAGGATTTTTTTTTACTCCTGAAATTTCACCTCCTTTTGTCCGGTTCTCACTTCACTTTGTCTTCGTTTCGGCATTGGTTCGTTCGAAAAAGCTTCGGTCGATTTTTCCCTAAATCTTTTCGCGCTGCCTACTGAGTCAGAGCTAGAGGCACGGTTGTAAACCCGGTTTGCTGCGTCTTTGTATTGAAGTGCTAGCCAGTCTCTCACGCTTGTTCTTGGCATCATTTTCAGTTTTTTTTTCAGATTATTTACTTCTTGCTCAAATGTGCTGACGGTGAGTTCAATTCGGAGGCCGAGTCTCTCTTGTGATTTTTGTTTTGAAGATAATCCAAAATACTCGAATAATCTCCAGTTTCGGACCTGCTTTGACTTGTCCATGCAAGATTAGCAGTGAGTTTTTCCTGCAGACAATGCCAATACATATTAGATCTAGGTGAACATTTTTCTTGCGCAGAAAACAGGAGCATCCTCCTAAATCTTTAGTTTCTGAACATAAGTGGCAAGTTCCGTGGCAGTCTGCCCAGCTGTTATGCTTATTTTCTTGTCTTCGGTGTTTTTTGGATGGAAATTTTTCTTCGATTCGAAATTTTTCTATTATTATTGACACCTATCGCAAAGAATTTTTGTACACATTAACTGGGTCTCTAAAATACCTTCATAGTCAAGAGCCATCCAAAATACCTTCATAGCCATCCAAAATAATAATTACCCAGTTCGTCGGAACAGATCAGATCTATTTAACTAATTTAAAAGAATCATTGAATGACTTGATTGCTTGATTAATAATCAATTCAAGTTTCTCGGCATATGCGACCATTTGGTTGGAAACGACTACGCCTGGGACGCAAAGGTCCTTTGTTTGGATCCAGGCAGGACATTTTTTCAGTTTCATAAAGTTGATCGGCCTATCGTTTGTCTGATTATTGTCGGCCTCTATCCCTATCTCTTGTAGGTTTAGTTGCGACATCTAAAATTTCTTGTGTCTAAGCACTTTTAACGCTCACGTATATGTTTTCATCTGGTCCAACCATCAATAATGATAATTATTTTTTTTCTGATTGCGCTGTTGTTTATACGTGTTAGACTTGCTTGCTGAGACGTTGCATATATCTTTCTACAGGTTCTCATTGAAATTTTGTCCAGTTTCGTGAACTTTCGTATCAATCAGCTCACCCTTCACGAATTAAATGGTGGCAGTTCCACTCAATCAAATCCAAGCGTGAATGGTCGGTGATTTCCTTTACTGTTAATCTTCAGTGTATATTGAGACCTCGAGGTGGATGCAGATCATGCTGGCTTCTTGTATGAGAATAAGATTCAACCATCCTGTCTTCTTTTTGCTTCAATATTTTTGCGACTCTTGATTCTATAGTTATCGCTTATCCGTGATAGTAATTTTTTTTGCGCAGGTTACTAGTCTTTCAAATTAGGTGCCATTTCAAACCTTTAAATAAATAATTGTTAAAAAAAGTTTTACAACAGCGTTTGAAAAATTGTCAAAATCATTTCCAATTAATAGATCATTGGAATTTTGCCAATCAATGATAATTGCCAACGGTTATTTAGTCTAATTAACCATTACGGGTCATGATTGTGTTGACGTGTTTTCAATGTGACGTTAAAAGTTACGGTAGGACCTCTCTCGATCGAGTGATTGAAAATAAGGCTCACTGAAGTTTGGAACTAATTGTTTTCTGCGGATCTTTGTGGTCAGCTATTTTACGGAAGATAGTCTAGTGTACGAGTCCTGCACGAGTAATTGACATTGTAAATGCTTTTGACTTCATCATCGCTCTAAGGCCTGGCATTTGAGTCGTGCAGTAGGAAAGAGTTATTTGAATTCAGCGCAGGTAATTTTGGTACAAATGGTAACCCACGTAATCTAAATTTCAGGCGTTTCATGAAAACTTCCCCCTTGGAGAGAAGTTGGACGATGAATCATGTCATACTATAGTACATCCTATAGCAGTAGTTACTTGGGAAGTGGTAGTCATTCGCGAACCGGAACGAGTGGCTACGCCCGACCACTTCCCAGTCGCCCTATCTCTAGCGATGTAAGTTACTGCTTCTACGCTTTTTATCAAATTGTATGGAGCTACTGATTACTCAGCTTAAGTAATTGAAAAAGTTAGAGCAAGATTTTAAGTGGTACGCTCGCCAAAATAACTTACTGCGGATTATCTTTTCAGTACAAAGAGTTATATAATTGTAAGTAAATTTGGTGCGTTTAGAGAAATTTCTCGTCCACTCGGAGTTCGTCGCTGCATAACATGCATGGCATCAACACGAGCTTTCAACGAGTATCTCTGGAGCAAACGAGAGTGAAGGACAAGGGTACGACGGGTCTGGACAACCTGGGGAATACTTGCTTCATGAACTCAATTCTTCAATGTCTGATTCATACCCAAGCTCTGAGGCAGAAATGCATACCTGAACCGTCTAATAGTATCGTAAATTCATCCAGTCAAATGAAGGGAAAGTTGTTCAAGGCCTTCTGCAAGTTGGTGAACAAATGTTGGAACAACGAGTCATCAGAAACATACACAGCCCTTCGAGATTTCAAAAGCCAAATGACGAAATATGCTCCACTTTTCGCAGGGAGCAGGTAGATATTCTCAGTTGAGCAGAATTTTTCTACTGCACTAGTGAAACACCAACATGCTAGCTGCTCATTTTATTGCGTCGTTGTCTTTATCTTTCTGCGTTAATTTTTGCTTTGTTGTTTTTCTAAGGCGGAAAATGCTGCGTGACTCTGATTTATTTCAATGCTTCAGGTATGCAAAAGAGGTGTTTCGGGTTTCTCTTCTAATTTTGATCTGCTTTGAACCAATTTACTTGGATAATGATTTAACTCGATCTCACTTTTCAAAAATTTATCAAAAAAAATTTGAGCACCCGGTTGACTTACACTTGACTTACAATTGTAAGTCAAGTGCAATGCAACCGGGTGCTCGAATTTTTTTTGGTAAATAGTTTTTAACGATTAGACCTGAATCGGCATAGGTCCTGGTTTCGAATCTGACAGGACCTTTTTTTTCAAACAAGAATTATTCTGTTTTAATCAAAATGTTGGCTTATTATTTGTCAACTTCAGTCTTGTCGGCTTAATTGCCACATCGAAGTATTGTTTGTTTGCTGTACGCAATTTACATTGTAGTTTCTTTCAGTTTTTGATTTAGTTCTGCTGTTTTTAATTTTACTAGCCTTGTTTTCGTATATTTTCTTCTTCTTCATTTGCTCAAAAACTTTATTATGTCCAATTGATTGCTAGGGTTTTCCTCTTAAAGCAAGGCACCGCAATTCAAATATGCGTCATACGAGGTCGAGTGATATATCATTTAAAAGCCATTGACGTCACGATAGTGATTCGATAGAGATTGATCAGATTCCAAAGTTTTTTCGAAAACGGTTTTTAAAAGCTTTTCAGATGAATTTTAATGCTAGCCTGATTCAAACAAAATGTCGGCTTATAGTTTGTTAACATCTGCCTTGTCGGCTTAGTTGCCACATCTTAGAATTTTTAAATACTTATCCCCAATTGTATCACAAGTGCAGCGAAGCTTCGCTTCGCCTGTGTAAAAAGTTGCATGCAATGACGTTCACTCAAGTTTTAAGGTGCATGCAAAACTCTGGAGAAAATCAGGCGTTCACGAAAACAAATCTTATTTTATTGTTTTTTTTTCGGCCTCTCACATAGTTGGAACGAAATAAGGCCTAGATTTTCCTATTGAAATAAGGAACCACAACACAATTATGCGTCATTGACGCCAAGACACTGATTCCATAGAGATTGATCAGATTCCAAAATATTTTTGAAAGGCTTCTCAGACGAATTTAACGCTAGCATGGTTAGAGAAGGGTGTAAGTATCTAATTTTGTAAAAGTGTAGTTTTCTTATTTAAGTCAATCTCAGCTTATTTGAAGCTGATTATCAGTTCTTTCGCAGCGGGGTGAAAAATTGACAAACAACTTATACTTTTTTTTTGCTTTTGCTCTCGCAATAAGCACGCGCATGGCAATTGAGCACTAGATTTTTTTCCTGTAGAAAACGTTGGTTCCAGAATTCAAAATACTTTATTAGGAGACCAAACGATCATCATAGGCTTTGCCTTTGAGGGTTAGCTTAGTGTAGTTATAATAGTCATCAGAAACAAAGTCGCCAACTTTCAGCGAAAAGTTTTTTGAGTAGTGCATTCATTTTTAAACTATGATCGAGCTATATCGGCTGCAATAATTTGCGCTAGCTACATTGCTGATTTGAATTATCCGGGCAAAACGAAAAAAAAACTGATTTTCATTGCGTTTTTCTTGAATTGGGTGAACTTCAGACAGAATGCGATGAAAAAAAAATTGGGTAATTTTTGGCTCGATTTTTGTTCTGAAAATTATTATGTCAATTTTCGAATAAATCAAATCATAATGAGCGTTTTAAAAGTTTTAGTGTCAGGTAGCCAAAATACGCCGGTTTGCATAGTTTTTGCTTAGAATAATTTGAAAAGAATATGGCGGACTATAAAACAGTTTTACTTTCTCGATTAACGCTGGGTTGAGTCAGGCACCCGTTTCGAAATATTTGATTCACAAATTGCCCCAGCATCTTTTCGTAGGCTTTGACCAAATGAAACCAACCAAAAAAGACTCTTGAAGGTTAAATTTATGGGCGATGTTTTTTTAAAGAAATTGCTCCATATCTGGTAAAATTGTTAACTGTTTTATTTTCATCGCATTTTGTCTAAAGTCTACCCAATTTGAGGAAAACGTGTTTAGAGTTTCAGGCTTTTTTTGTGCTGTCCAGATAATTAAAGTCAGCATTGTATATCCGGTTGTTAGTTTTTTTGTGGTTTTTTCTTTGCTGCCTGGTATCCAAAAATAACGCATACGTGAAAGTATTAGAAGCTGAGGAGCAATGGAGTTAAGGCAACTAAATGTTAAGTGTGAGATCTGTGGTTAGAATTCTGTATTCGCTAAGAAACCGGTTTATTTATTTTTCTTAATCAGAAAATAACGAAATTTAGACAATAACTCGCGTGAAATTTGTTTATACTTAAATTATCTTTTGGCTACTAGTTGTCCGTAAATTCCGTTTCTTTACGGTCGTCTAATTTCTTGTCTAATTTCCTAGGCACGATCTAGCTACATCCACTTTCATAAAGCATATTGTTTAATGCTTAATGTCTAAGAATAATAAGAATAAAGTGTGCGTGACATTAATTTGAGGCAAGATGCAATACCATAGTGGTTAAGGCAATTGTCTGTTGTTCAGGTAGTCTGCATTCGAATACCATAGTTTTTTTAAAAATTGTTTTTGATGTTTGTTTTTTTTCTCGTGTTTTGGATTGCCCGTTTTTTTCCTCCCTTGATCAATCGCCGCTATTGCCGTATTCTTCTGGATATAAAAACTATTTTCGTTGCTCTATTTTTTGGCTTTTGTTTGCAAATACGTCCCTTTGTTTCGATCAAACTTTCACCCTCCAAATGGAGGCCGAAATGGCTTCGATATGACAGAGCGCGCAATTCACTACGAGTTTTCTTATAGATTTTTCTAAAATCTGGTAGTATTTTAATTATCTTTTGTATCCAAAGTTGTATGAATCTCATCTCCTGTGGAAGTGTAAATAATTGAGCTTTTGGAAATAAATGAAAATATGTGGAAATACTGAAACACAATCAATATGGAAATATTTGCGCGTTTTTCTGCGTTTCTGTAGCCAACATGACGCGCAGGAACTGCTTGTCTACTTACTGGAGGGCATCCATGAAGACGTCAATGAAGTATCCAAAAAGCCTTACTATAAAGATGATATCCCCGACGAATACAGGTGCGTTAACTCCAGTAGATCTAATTGAATTATGACGATGGATTCATGGTTCAACTGAAGAGCATACAAACTAAGGGCTGGCAATATGCATTACATGAATTTGTTAGATTTTACTTTTTCGATGTCGTGTCTCAGTTCCTGTTAGCTTTTCCTGTAAGTTCACTATAGCTGGTCTTCTTTGTTACTGTGGCTTATTCTCGGGATAAATTGAAATATGAGAAACTTATCGGAAAATTCATGTAGCACTTGTGAAAGAGAAAAAGACCAGATGTGCATTTTGGAGTTCATCTTTTATTTATTACTCCACTAGTTCTGCCAATATATTATCAACGTATTTGCAATTGCAGCCCCTCGCAGAAGGCGAAGGAGTCGTGGACGAGGTATCTCTCTCGGGAGAAGAGCTTTGTCATCGACCTGTTCGTGGGCCAGCTGAAGAGCACCTTGACATGCCAAGTGTGTGGCTATGAGTCACTCACATACGACCCCTACTTCGACCTATCCTTGCCAATACCTAAAAAGGTATCAAAGCTCTATCTCTTTTCCCCTTCATCTCCACTGCTGAAATTGAACTTCCTGATTGATATTTACTATGTTTACCTCGGTGATAATTTAAATAAAAACATATCAGCGTGAACAATTGACCAGATTTGGCTGTTTAACGTGCGATTTGCTGTATGAACATCTTTGAGACCATTTGTGATCCTTAATATACGAGGTGTTGTGACCTGGAAAAAAGACAATACTGTTTTGCTTTTTAGTGTTGAATTAATGATGTTGGGTTGTGAGATGAAGCATGGGGTGTTATTAAAAAATCTTGCTTGAGCTGTTGATATCCTGGGATCTTTTTAATGCCTGAGATCGAAATTTTCAGCCAACATTGCTCACAATTGCGTAAAATGCCCATGTTAAAATTCAAAGTTGATTCGCGCACATTTTAAAGTTTGTGAGCTCACTTATTCTTATTTGTTTTTCGTCTGATCTAACACCTAGTTAAAACAATCATCGCATGCTAATTGGCACACGTGGTTATCGTTACGCCCCCAATTAAAACAGTTTTTATCGCTTCTGCTTTTGGTTTACTTCGTTTCTGTTTCAGAACTATTTCAACTGTAGTTTAGACGACTGCTTGAGGGAATACACCTCCGAAGAAACTCTAGATGGCTATGACAAACCGGTTGGTTCCTTAGTTTCAACAATTATCTGGATTTGAGTCTAAGGGTACAATATTTCACCTTAAAATAGTTTGGTCGATAAGAATTCTTGCGGGTTGCTTTTTTTCCTTGTCAATTTTTATGCCTTTAATACCGCTAAAATTTTGAGTTCAGAGAATTGGGGGATTTCAAAGTGTAGTGCTATGTAATGGGAATACAAATTGTAATGCTGTGTAATGTTACAGCGCTGTGCTAAATGCAAGAAGCCGCAGCGATGCACAAAGCAGTTCACCATCGAGAGGTTTCCCAAGATTCTAGTAATCCACCTGAAGAGGTTCTCCATGCGCAACAGGTTCTCCAAGCTAGACACCAAAGTCGCCTTCCCAGTTACAGGGCTGTGTCTAGAAGAATTCGCCAGTACAGAACAAAAACATAACCGTGCGTGTCTTATCTTAAAAGAAAAATACTTCGGAATAATGAGTGAACGCTATAGCGATAGTTTCAGTTTGCGGTAAATGACAACAATGGCATAAAATGTAATTCATGAGAGAAATGAAACGAATGTCTCCTTCTTGATGTTTGAGTTACCTACTGGTTATTCATTTGCAATTAAGCGTCGAAATGTTAAAATTTGTAGTGATATGATCAATAAGTGAAAAACACAAGTTTCTCAACGTTACTAGTGAGCTAGGGGCGAAAGTGAATATGTTGAATAATGAAGTATCGTATTGTTAATTGTGCAGGTACTGCTAGCGACTGCATTTACAACCTGTTCGCAGTGGCCAATCATAGTGGTACTGCCTATTCCGGACACTACACGGCCTACTGCAAGTCAGAAACGAGGAAGCATTGGAGCAGTTTCAACGACAGACTGTAAGTAATTTCTTGTACAGTCACGGGACATAGAAGTTTCAGTTTTTTTATTTATTTCACCCAGCGAATGAACGCCTTTACAGCTTTTTGATACGATGTGCTTTGACATTCGAATCGTAATAAGTTAACACGGTTGGTGCATTTTTAATTCATCAAATCAACCGAAAAAGGCTATGCGTTTCAAACAACATAACAATAATAAAAACTCGATTTTAGAAATTTTCTAACTCAATATATCTTTTATTTTTGTGAAATCCACAGTTTATACATAATGTGGCTTTATGCTTTGCGATTTGTTACATGCAAAGTTAGTGTGGATGCGTTCAGTTTGTTAAATTACAAGTTATTACTTGCAAAGTTGTGTCTATTTGTATTTGGTGCCCTGTTTGCCGAATAGCATTGGCAATTTATTAGCATATATAGCTGCTTTATTCGTGACTAGTGTTTGTCGGTGGTTAAGCGTGAGTGGTTAGTGCGTGAGACTCAAAATATGTTGGTTGCAGTAGGTCGCAGACCGAAGCCTAGACATAGCCGAATTTTTGCTAATTCGAGGCTTATTTCTATTTTTTCTTATTGCACTTTCTAGAGCTGCTTTTTGTGTTCTCGCTAGTGTTTGCGAAGTGAAGCTTCGCTTCTTTGTAAAATTTTCACACAAGCTAGATGAAATTTGAACACGATCTAGTGGGATTAAAATTTGAGAATCGTTAAAATAACCAGTTTATAACCAGTGTCAGAGATGTTCTTGCTGTGCAAATATCCTCAAAAACCACCCAGAAAGTTTGAGTATTTGGGCTAAAATTGTTTCGTTTAGAAGCTGATTAGCTTGACTTTCTCCTTATGTAGTGGAGAAACGATTAAAAAAAGTAGTTACTTGGTCCGTAGTCAATAAACAGCTAAATATTTTCTGATGATCGAAATATGCCAACAAAAGAACTGGTCCGATAAATGTTTTGGTAAAATAGCTGCTCTGATTCATGCTCACAGGATTCTTTTAAGCAGTTGTGTCTTAAATTTTGTTCCAACTTTCTGGTATCTGCGTTCAAGGCATTTTACTATATGTACCATCAAAACAGATAATGACGGTTGTTTGTTGCGCCGTACCAAGTAACGCTTTCATTTTTTCTGTCGTTGCCCGCTACATGAAGAGTAAATCAAGCTCATCAGATTCCAAAAGAAACAATTTTAGTCCATGCGATCAAACGGTTTGGGTTGTTTGCGAGGATAAATCTACTGCAAGAACACCTCTGAAACTACTTCTGGCTATTTACCGCCATCCAAACAAGATTTCGCAAATTTTGATCCGGCTAGTGTCTGTCAAAACTTTCAACTTTCATCTAGCATGTGGCGAAATTCAAGCGCTGTATCGCAAAAATGTTGCAGTGGAAACGTGGAAAAAAAGTTGTCGATTTGCTTGTTGAAGAAATAACTACTTTGCCTCATGTTTGCATCAGTGGTGTGCGCAGGAGTTTTTTGACGGTGCATGAACAGTTTCGTGGGGTTTTATTTAGGCCAGCCTCTTCAAAATTTTCGAGCTCGGCCGAGAGATCTTATTTGGCAACGTTTTCTGGGCCACAGGAGATGTTTTTGCCGTTTTTGAATGCTATTCGAAAGGTCTCGACGAAAAATGGGTTTTCTGGTGCGTCTTCTCCCTCATTATTAAAATCATATGCGTCAAAATGGCGTTTAGATTTTTTATGGCCAGTCAAAAATGGCTATAGTAAAAATTATCAAAGGGGTAATTAGTGCAGAATTGAGTGATGCTAATTTTGAGGGAAAAAACGCCGGAAAACTGTTTTGTGGTGGAAACCTTTTGTCTAAAAGTGTTCAGACAAGCATAGCACCTGGTATTAAATATCTAGGAAATTTTTTTAAATATCGCTCAAAGTAAACGCAATTTTTTTGAACGATAACATCTTTTAAATTTCGCTGGATAAAAGTAAAACTATCTTTTATCAAACCTGAATGTGTTTTCTCATGTCTCTAAACCAATGGATTTATTATTCAATCCAAAGTTCGAAGATTTTGGATTGAAACCACCTCGTTGGTTTCAACCCACTTCGCGTTGGATTCAATCCAATCCACCAACACGTTGGTTTCAAAACCGCTTTTTCCTCAAAACCAAATCTATTGTGCAGTGTGGTGTGGCAACATCATCAACAGGAAATAGTTGATTGTGAATATTAAGCTCAGATGCCTTCTATTGGGGTAACTTTGGTTGTACAAAACAGCTGTGATGTTTAGGGTATCGGAGTTACATGAGAGCCGCCTTGTGTCATCTAGTGCCTACGTTCTCTTCTACGAGCTAGCATCATCCTCAAGTAGAGAGTGAACAAATTCCCCACTTGAATCTGAATCCACCCCGCCTTAACCCTAAAAAGAAGAACCAATCAAAGAGAAGAAACCAAGCGCAGCCTACTCATACTTAAGCTAAATCATCTTGTGCTATTTCAGGCTAGATAGAAATAACAATATTAATTGATCCGCTCTGTTTAGTTAGTGAGCTCTGCCGACGGCTTAAAATCAGAATGAGTCCAAATTTCTCTTCGCCGCTGTTCATGCTTGCTGTTTGTCATTTTTTGCTACCTTTTGACGCTTCCGCAATTACATTGCCTGCCGAGAAAGGCAGCCCAAAACAGTTACTTATCATTCGTGTAATAGATCCCAAAGTCGCTATACTAGATCAGGAAATTGGATGTTGGCGGTCCTATAACCTGAGTTTGTCTCCTATATATTCATTCAATGTCTGATTTAGTCCAACTTTGCCCAATTCAAATTTTAATAGTAACAAAAATAGCTGAAATGATGTGAAAATGGTATTAGAAATCAATTTTATTAGAAACCAATTGCATTCAAACCCTCAATAAGGTTACTTCGAGGAAGTCAAAATTGGGCGGAAACGCTCCACGCCATAGTTCCTTGCTACTCTACGAAAGTGGTAATAACAAAAGTGCAAATTCAGTCAAGTGAATTATGTGGAACATTTTCCCGGATTATTTGTGAACGCCAATATCTTTTATGATATGTTCGTATGAAATATCTGACCAAGTTCAAAGTTTGTACATAGATACTGAAAGTTCTAAATCGTTCTTTTTATTCTTGTTTATTAAAACTAACCCTGTTTTGCTCTTCAATTGAAATCTTAGCTTGTTTAAATTCATGTTTTATAGTGTAAATTAATTTCATTTTTAAGTTAGATGATTTATGAATGTTTAATTGAAATGAAGTGTACTTATTTTTTGTAAATCCAAGTTCGAATAATTGAAGCGTTCCATTTAGTGAACAATGGAAAAATCGCTTTTTCCAAGCAGAAGCAAACCATGCACTCAAGTGTGGAAAACCATGCACTGGAGGGTGAAATTGATAAGTTTTTTCGATAGATCATTTATTTAGATTTTTCGAACACATCAGAACCTATGAGTCACCCAATTTTGGAAAGAAATCTCTGAGATGACTTTTCTGATTTGGAAAGAAAAAATGACCTTTCTGATTGGCTGAGGTAAAATATATGCGTATTATTGCTGGCACACCCTCATAGGAATGTATGTAATTGGCGTCTTTAGAACAAATGTAGAGTCACTCAGCTGAAATGTAAGTAATTGTCGTAAAATAGTGAACTGGGAAAGATAGAATTTATGTCCCTGTTTCAGATGTAGGCTATGCTTCAGGAGGGACAAGTTGTCCTCTTCCTCATTGAGAGAGGCATTGCAGTGGTCAATCTGCTCGCATTTCTCTCCTTCTTCACCCAATGGAGGGGTCTCATTTCTTCCCACGGACTATCTCCCCTCAAACAGTTCCAAAAGAAAGTGCTTAAAGCATGTTGGGGGGAGGCCAAAGATAAAGGGAGTCCAAGAACGTGGAAAGAATGGATCGCAGTTTTTTGCACTGTGCCAAGTCTAACCTGGTTTTGCAACGAGGACTGGTTCCTTGCTTTCCTTATTTACGCGGGAATCGGTTGTAGCGTTTTAGCGATCGTCAACTGTTACGCCAAATTATCATTTCTTGTCTGTGGAGTTTGTTACCTGTCTCTGAAATCGGTCGCGGAACCCTTCTTGAGTCTGCAAATGGACGGGAACCTAATCGAACTTGATTTTCTGTTCTGGCTTGGAACTCTCTTCGATTCGTTTTATCCTTTTGTTCAAATCATCACTTTGAGATTTCATGTGTTTCGCATCATGCTTGCATGTGGACTGGTCAAAATATTCGGTAGTGCGTGCTGGCGAGATTTCACAGCGATGTGTTACCATTACTACACACAGCCTTTGCCAAATCCGTTATCACCGATCTTTCATTTCTTACCTACTTGGTTTCATAAGTTTAGTACAATCATGACCTTTTTCGTGGAAATTGGAGTCCCTTTTCTGTATTTCGGACCGGCTTGGGCAAGGTTGTTAGGCCTGCTGGCCTCGATGGGACTCCTGGTGATGATTAATATATCGGGTAACTATGGATTCCTTGGTCTGATGACAGTGTGTATAACACTCAGTCTGACAAACGATTCACATTGGCTGTTTTTCACGCCTGCAACAGTCCCACCAATCACTGTAATGCAACATATTATTGGTACACTTGGTATAGCTATAGTTCTTTTCTACAATTTTGTATGTCTTGCTCCTCTAATTCAGAGCTCAAAGTATATGGATCCTCCGTTTTTTCTAAATAAATGTCATCAGGCTCTTAAGCCGTTTCGAGTTACGAATTACTATGGAAAGTTTGGATCAATGCGAACCGAGAGATATGAACTGATTATTCTGGCAACATCAGATTGTCAAAATTGGAAAGAAATCGACTTCAAATACAAGCCGGGTAGAATTACCAATCAGCCTAAATGGGTTCCGTTTGGTCATTTGCCAAGACTGGATTGGCGAACATGGTTCCTGCCGAGTTTGGCGGCGAAGAATCACGACCCACCCGATTGGTGGAGCAATTTGCTGCAGGGTATTCTGTCGAACAACAAGGAGATCCTATCACTACTGGATATGTTCAAGTATCCATTCACGAGTGAAGAGCGACCAGTGAAGCTACGAACTGCCATCTTCAGGTACAATTTTGTACCGCCCATCAAGCACAAAGAAGATGGGAAGGGAGACGATGACGCTAAAAGTGATGCTCAGAAGGTTTTCTGGAAACGAGAGCTGATCGGATTCTTCGGCCATGAAGTAACTCGTACTGAAGACGATTGATTGAAGATCATCTGAGTTTTGTCGTTTTTTTAAGATTCGCAATGCGAACGTGCAATTATTTCCTTCATATTGCTGCTAAATGTGCAATATAATTTCTCCCGAGTTATGCAATATAACAAAAATTATTTAAATAATGAAAAGTTTCAAACAGCTTTTACACTTAAAATATCAATATGTATTAAATTATAGAGATATAAATTTAAATGCTAGTAAACGTAATTTTTTTGCCAATTGAAAACATTGGACGTACAAAAATAGCGCACGGAAATTGAGTGTCAATATGTTTCGTTTCAGATCAATATGGTTAAAGGTGTGAATATCTGCGACGTGAAGGTGATGAACAACCCCGCCCCTTTCCTAGACCCATTCTCCTTCGAAATCACGTTTGCCTGCCACGAAGACTTACCGGATGGTATGTAATAATTGACTATAACGCATTCTACTTTATTAGATTCTTATCAACGCACAATGATTTTAACGCAATTTTATGCCACGAGCTTAAACCAATTGAATAGATTGAATAGATGATGAGTTTCCTGCATGGATGACTTTGTGTAGACATTGAATGGAAGATCATCTACGTGGGATCTGCGGAGAGTGAGAAACTGGACCAGACCCTGGACAGTGTACTGGTGGGTCCTGTGCCAGCCGGGAAGCACATGTTCACACTCGAGGTAGAATATCGAACCAATGTCACTGTTATTTTTGATCCCGAGCTAATTGAAACCGCAGTATGAGCTCTGTTATACAATTTTTGACAAAAGCAATGCTAAGAAAATTTCTTACTAGGAAACAATTTATGACGGACTCTGAAAGCCAAAGTTTTTTGCTTGATAGTTGGTATTATGAAGAGTTGATGAACGTAGTGAAAACTCTTATAATGGTCGTTATGATTTTTTTCAGGAACAGTCTTAGAATTTGTTGGCTCTAAAATGTGATTTTTTTTCCGCGTTTTGTCTGATTTTTTTTCTTCAATAAGTTTCTTTTATTAAATTGAAAGCAAGCTCCACAATCGAACAGCGAAGTTGTTAAGTCACGAAAAACGTGAGTTTAATCCAGTTTCAAACATGGATTTAGTTTTCAGATATTACCCGCGCAATAGAAAATTAACTATTGATTAATTTATCTGAAATTGGGTTAATTTTACCGAAAATCATAAATTGTTCTTGAAATTCAAAGAGCTTTAAGGCCATATTTTTCCTTTGAAATTTGAAAATTGAAGTTCTTTTGTTTTTAGCGTTTCTTGACTCTTTTCGGACTGCCTGTTGGCTATGTTTAAGAGTCGATGAACATGGTTAAGACTCGTATATAGGTGCTGATGACTTTTTTGTTTTCTTTTTTAGGAAAAGTCTCAAGTTTTGTTCACGCTCAAATTTGCTTTTTTGCGGTTTGACTCATGATTGTTTTTAAATTTTCTTCATTTAGTTTGTTGAAAGGAAGGAACATTCCACAATCGAACAGCAAAAGTGTCAAAAAAACGTGATCTACTTTGAAAGTTTTGAAAGTGGAATGTAATTTTCAGACTTCCCAGCGGAATAAAAAAATTTACCCTTCGATCCAGTTTTCTCAAATTGGGTTACTTGAGACAAAAAAGTGACAGTCATAAATTGTTCTAGAAATTCAAAGAGAGGCTCTTTTTCCTTTTCCCCCACCTCACACGACCATCAATTTTATGGTGTAACGAATGGTTTTCAAGGTTAATTATGGAGACCAAATATGTTTGACACAGCCCGCATGTCAATTTTTATAATAACGATCGGAAAATATGAACAGTAAATTTACTAGTAAAAAACTGCAGATGGGCGGAAAAGGAAAAAGAAATCAAAGAACTTTAAAGACATATATTTGTTTCGACAATTTTTCAAAAAATATGTCATCCTTTTTTTTCTGTTTACTCACGTTCTTTGACTCTTTTCCAGCTCTCTGTTGGCTATGTTCTCAATAATTTTTTCTATGTTATACAACAAATTTTTTAGAATGAAGTTCCTTCCAATTTTGAATTGCATCTCTGGAGATACTCAGGCACTATCTGTTGGCTGTTCTTCTAAAGCCATGAATAATTGGTCGAAAAAGTAAGTGGGGGTGTATTAACAAATAAGGTGATTTGAGTTCATGTTGCAAGTTCATCCTTTTTTGAGCAATTGCATTCATTTGCTTTTCGTGGTCAGTTTAATTGTAGATACGATTTATCTAAAATTACTGTACTGTTAAGGTGCCTGGCCCTGACCCCAGCCGCATCCCAGACCAAGATGTGGTAGGCGTGACCATAGTTCTGATCACGTGCTCTTACCGTGAAAAAGAGTTCATCCGAGTGGGCTACTACGTGTCTAACTCGTACAAGGAGCTGGAGTTGCACGAGAACCCGCCCGAAAAACCCAAATACGAACTAGTAAGTACCAAAAAAAAAGATATTCGGTCGAGTCTATGTTTTGACCTAATCAGCTTTTGGAATTCTATCGAGCTTCAAATTGTCGAAAGATGCCGGCTTATCTAAGGGAATATCAAGAAAAGTTGGTATTTCAAATGATGTATTTACAGCTTGAACGAAACGTCTTGTCAACGAACGCTCGAGTTACACGCTTTGCAATTGACTGGGGAGACTCGGAAACGATTACAAGTGGACATGTGGCGAACGGAGAACAGTCAACAGTGAATAATGAAGAGGCTCAGAAAAACCTCGAGACTGATTTTGAGATCCAGAATAAGGAAAATAATCAGCAGCAATCGGCTGTCGAGTCTGCTAATGAAAAAGCCACCGGAAACGCCGAAAAAGATGCCCCGTCTGGTATCAAAGATAGTGTCGTAGAGACAATGGATACTAGTAATGCTGCAGCTGAAGCTGCAACTGCTTGAACACTTTTGAACTAGAAATACTTTGGGTCCTTTAACTTATTCTACTCAGCACAAGTTTGCGTCGTTCGAACTGTTTAATTGCGTTGTTCGAGCTGTTTTACCGACTTTTCACCAAATTCAACCCAGCATATTTGGGTATTTTCATTTCTCTTAATGAGATCCAGAGTTTTGGGCGGAATAAGTCAAAAGACCCGACACTTTTTGCGAGGCAACTGTATTCTTGATTTTGAGAATAATTTGTCTTGATTCTGAGAGTAGATTGTGTCGCCTTAGTGAGTTGATTTGAGTTGTTTGTTTGAAATTTCGTTGTGTAATATGATAACTTTGACCTCCTTTCACTAGTAGCGTTTTTTTATTATTTTAAATTACTAATTGTAGCCTATTGTTATCTTAATTTTGGAATTGAATGTTGGCTTACGATTTTTAAAGTATGTTTGGCGCGTTTGTAATCAACTAAAAGATTTCTCAGTACAGAGATTTAGTGAAATTGTTCAAACGTTCCGAACATTCACGCTGTCATTGCGGTAGTTAAATCTAAAAGGGCCTTAAACTAGCTTTTTTTATCAGAAATCTTAAAGATGGCTTTCAATGTTTCAAACCGCGCAGTCATTTCAGATTTTTTCCTCGCAAAATTATCAACCCCGAGAAAAATATGCCTAATGCTGTGTGGTGATATATTATTGTACTGAAACATTTACAATCGAGTTAGCGGCAACAGTAATCATGATTACGCTTTCGATTAGCAAGCTTTATCAATCGGGAATATAGACCTGTTTGTATGTGTATCTGTTGTCGGCTCAGTTGTAACATTTTGGAATCGTTTTTTTTTTTGCCTCGCGCATTTTTTTAATTTTGTTTTTAGTGTTTGTCTTAATCCTATAATTTTTAATTTTACTTAACTTGAATTCGTATTTCCGTTTTTTGTTTCGGTAAAAAAAATTCCTCGGCTCAAAGTATTTCGGCCTATTTTTTTATTGACATTAATGACTTATTTTTGGTTCGTTACAATGGAAACACATTTTTAACACTCAAGCTGGTTGTATTTTTACCAATCGGTTTGGTGAAATTTGTTCTTTTTCATTTGAGAAAAATTATTTCCATTCATTGGAAAAATTTTCAGTTTTTCTCAGAAATTTCTACTGGTTTTCAAAAAGTGTATAAATTGAAATATTTATATCTCCCTCGGAAGAGCTAAATTTTTCAGTTTTGACCGTTTTGAGAACTTTTTTGACTTTTATCGACAACAAACTTCTCATATCTAATTTTGTGGATTTAATGGAGATAACGAGTAGTGGGAAGCTCCCCTACCTTAGGGACCACTCACAATATTTTTACGCAAAAAGTTACCACTCTAAAAATTGACTCAAAAAGTTATGTCCCTCGGAAGTTTTGAATTTTTGACCATTTGTTTTTGAAAATTTTTCTGAAGAACTGCTCTAACAAATCTTGGATTTTGGGTGCAATTTTAATATCAGATTGCGTGAATCCGCTCTGGATAAACGGCTACGCCCAATTTTTCACTCAAAGCAATGATTCTCGATAATGTCAAATTTTTGATTTGTTGATTGTTCTTTCTAAAAACCAAAACTTTTTGATGAAAAATCTGGCTGTTGCGACTTAAGCACAGAAGATTCCCAAAACCGGGTTTCTTGATTGAACTTAACTTGAGGAATGGCATGAGAGTTTTCGCGTAAAGTCAAAAAAAGTCTTTTCTTGCTAACTATCCTGCCAAATCTGATATCATAGGTTTAATAAAAAAAACAAATTCTGGAAATCCTTTTTTTAAAGTTTGCAATGCTCAGTTTGCTTGAGAAAGTTTTGACCTTCAAACAATTCAATATTTTGAAACTTAAACCGTTTTTGGAAGGACTTTTTTGACTTTACGCGAAAACTCTCATGCCATTTCTCAAGTTACGTCGATTAAGAAACCTGGTTTTGGGAATCTTCTGTGCTTAAGTGGCAACCGTTGATTTTACCTCAAAAAGCTATGGTTTTTAAAAAGTCTTTTGTTCGTTTTTCTAGTACTTCTGACCGTTTTTTAAAAAAGAGTTTTATAATTTATATCACCAAATCTGAGATCAAAAGTTCAATTTCAAGAACCGGTAGCAACAATTGTTCCTGCAGAAGTGGCAACTCCCTAATTTTTTGTAAAACAAAGGTTATCTCTGAAAACTGATTTATTTCACAAATTTTTAATCATCTCACTTATTTTAGTAGAGAAACAAATAAATTTTCGGGCAAAGTCCAATTTTTGATATCACATTTTTTGTGCCACTTCGTTGTAGCAATTTCATTAAACACATGTCAAACACATACCACCAGTTTCAGCTGGGCCCTTAGGTAATTTTTATCGAGACATACAAAACTTTATGTTCACCTAGTTTTTTCATAATTTATTTTTTTTCCGAGTTATCCTTTTCAATGTTTGTGTTCATGTTTCTTGTATCAAGCTCGGATAATTTTCTTATGGTTTTGCAAGTAAAATACTATTTTGATACCTACCTTTTTTTAAGTACCTTATTTGTGTTCAATTTGATTATCTGAAATTTAGTAATAATGTCTCAGTACCTCAGTGAACTGCCTGAATTCTTGTCTGGCTTGCAGCAGAATGGGTCCGCCGCACTTTTTTGCAAGATCTGTTGCCGGTTCTTTTCCTCGGCTTTTTACAAGTTCAAGCAATCAATAGTTTTCCAAGTAATAATTAGAAGTCAATGAAAGTAGTGCAGACTCTTTGATAGGTTGCGCTGGTTTTTTGTTTCTTTAGGAACAGTTTTAAATTTCGTTCAGGCTCTAATTTGTTTATTGTAGCTGGACTTTTGATTTTTTTTTGATTTTCCAGTTCATTTCCTTTGTTAAAAGGATGGCAAACTCCACCATCGAACAGAAAAAATGTTAAGCTCACAAAAAACGTGATCAACTTCTAGTTTCGAAAAATTTTTAATTTTCAGATTTTTCAGCGAAAAAAAATGTTTATTTAATTATTTTTTTTTGTACGAACAAGTTAATTTGTTAACATTATCCAGTGGTAAACTTACAAATCAAGCAGCAAACTTAAGTCCATCCAGGCTAGTTTTTAATGCATACTAAAATGGTTAAATAAAAGGTAACTATAAGAGTCATATACATATATGATTTGAACTCTTCAATAATTTTTTTAAGCGTAACTTGTTCAAATAAAAAAAGTAAGTATTTATTAATTCCCATTTTACACTGGCTGTTTTCAGCTGTTTCAGGTGATTAATTTCATTTGTTTGCACATGTTTTAGGAA